ATTCATATTTTTCTAGGGCAGTCCCACAGACCTATGGTCTCCTTACGGGGTACCCTGGTATTTGCAGTGGAACTCGCCTTGCAATCCCACGGCTTCGCATCTCCTGAACTAGAGCTGACCTATGCTGCCAGGAGGACAACGCCCGCATATGGCTCATGACGTCGTTGGACAGTGGAGAGCGGTACAGAGATTGGGAAGCAATGCGGTATGCGCTAGAGAAGACATATGGGCCTCAGCATGATGCTGATCAGGCGAGACTCAAACTGTTTGCCGTGGAGTACCGTGGCCGTCTCGACGAATACATCACACTCTTTTCCCGTCAGAGCCTGCAGGTGCCTGAAATCGATGAGCATTCAAGGGCTCTATTATTTGTTGGGGGCTTCCGCTGGGGTTACGGAGACAGGTGTTGACGGAACACCCAAAATCCCTTCCGGAAGCCATCAAGGCAGCTGAGACTGCAAGCCAGAGCTGGTATGCCCGAGACCGACAATTTCTTGGCAGTACCAGGAACCAATCAACTACTAGTCCAAGATGACGCAATCCTCTGCAAGGCAGAACGGCTTCAGCCAGGGTGCAAGAAGGAGAGCCCGATCGTCGCCGCTGTTGGTCCTGCGGCAATCCCGACCACGTGGCAAGGGACTGCCCGGAGGCTCAACCTCACCCAAACGGTGGAAGCCAGTGAAGAAAGGGGTGCTGTGCATCATCAGCCCGGGAAAAGCAATATGGCTGATCCTTTGTCCCGCCGCCCCGATTTGCAACCCAGTAGTTCCGTGTGTGAGTGCAACGCAATTGAATACGGTTTAGAGATAAACCCCCAGATAGCTAACGACAGTAAGGCGGGCTATTCAAAGGATGCCAGCCTTTCTGCTATCATTGAGCGCATGGAGACTTGGAGAGATGTACGAATGATAACATTCATAAGCAGTACTCCAAGGATTCAGGGTTCCTTTTTCTGAAGTCTACACGGAACAACCGGCTGTGCATTCCGGCAGGAAAACTGCGCCTTCAGCTACTTCAGGAGCATCACGACTGTACCACCGCGGGCCATCAGGGACGGGATCGTACAATTGTACTTTTGTACGCTCGACATCTTTACTGGCCACGGATGGGCTTACAAACACTGGTAGACGTGAAGAAGCCTGTAAAATTATGTGATATGTGCCAACGAGTTAAAGGCGGACAGGAAAGGTCAGGCTTATTACAATCCTTAGCAGTTCAGTTCCCGACTTCATGGGAAGATAATTTATTTCATTGTTGGCCTACCCCAAACCCCTCAGGGTCATGATGCCGTCTATACCTTTGTGGACCGTTTAACGAAATACATGTATGTTCATTTGGCTCCCTGTTCATCCACAATTGATGCCAAAGGTAGCGCGAACTTGTATATTCAGAACATTTTCAGGTTACACGGCTTGAGCCGTACAATCGTGTCTGACGGAGACCCAAGATTTACAGCTGCATTTTTCGGGAGGTCTTCAATACTAGTAGCCTTGGTACGAAGCTCTGTTTCAGCACAGCTAATCACCCTCAAAGTGATGGGCTTACAGAACGCGTCAATAGAGTCGTGGAAGATGTGCTACGATCGTTTGTGAATCTAAAACAAGACAATTGGGATGTCCTCCTGCCCCTGTGCGAATTTGCCATTAACAGTTCTGAGCAGGCATCAACTGCCAATACCCCGTTCTTCTTTAACTATGGTATTAACACAGCTGCACCCCCGGATTTCCTCCGAAGGGGAGGGGCAGGGAATGCTGGTGACTGGCTGGAGGCACGTAACGAGGCTCTAGCTATCGCAAGAGATGCTGTGCTGGCGGCTCAGGCTCGTCAGGCGATGTATGCTGACCGAGGCCGAGCACCCGAGAATTTAACAGTTGGAGACCTAGTGATGGTGTACAGGGACTTCCTCTTGACACCGGCGGCTCGGTTCCGACCATCTCACAAGCTTCGCCATAAGTGGTATGGACCCTTCAAGGCTCTTGAGCGAGTTGCACCAAATGCCTATCGTGTTGAACTTCCTCAGGTAATGCGATGCCACCCAGTGTTCAACATTTCGGCTCGTCGGTTGTACACTGAGAACTCCATTCCCGGGCGAACACATCCTCCACCGCCACCTATCACAGACTTAGACGGTGCTACCCGTTACATTTCGGATAGCATCATCAATCATCGGACGTACCGTCGACAGCTACAGTACTTAGTGAAGTGGCGCGGATATGAGGAAGCAATCTGGGAGCCGGTAGGTAACCTCCAGGACGAATCTGGGCGAAACATCATTCCCTTGCAACAATATTTGAAGAGCCTTGAATGACTTGATTCATTGAATTCCACCTTATTCTCGTGTTAGGTTGGGCTACTGTACGCGGCTGCTTCACCCCCTCTATTCGCACTGGTCGAAATGTACCTGTACACATTCTCCTCGCATTTCCGTATCACTCACATCTGCTCATCTCACGTCATATAATCATGGCATATTCCGCTTGAGTGGCCAGACCATTAAATATTTTCTTCAGTTGTATTTCAGATGTTGTGTATTTTACCGAAGCCTGCTGGCTTCGAGGAGGAGGAGTGGAATGGTGTGATAGTTGTCACCTTTGTGTTAGTTCTCACCTTATACATGTTACTATCTCGTGCTATTGCGCGCGCATCTTCTATCATAATTATAAACTCATTTGTTCATTGAAAAATTATTCTTCACTATCAGTTCACTATCAGTTCATCAGTCTGTTACAGTATCAAAGTGCTGCCATGAAAACAAATAGACAGATGGATCCATAGATCGATAGACAGATAAACAGATAGATCGGTAGACAGATAGATCCATAGACAGATAGACAGACAGACAGATAGATAGATAGGTGGATAAATAGATCAACAGATAGAAAGATAGATAGATAGATAGATAGATAGATAGATAGATAGACGAATAGATTGATTGATGGATTTATTGATTCATAGATCGAGAGATCGGAAGATATATCGATAGACGGATCAACAGATAGATAGACAGGCACACGGACAGATACACAGACAGACAGGCAGACAGACGGACAAACAGACAGACGGACAAACAGACAAACAGACAGACAGATGGATAGACAGGCCGACAGATAGACAGACTATAGATAGATAGATCGATAGATGAAGAGATAGTTAGGGTGTGTTCTTATATTCTCTAGCTTCTAGAAGAAGAAGAAAAGAGAAGCCGAAGAAACTGGAATTACTCAAGAACGGGTCTCGAAGAATTCGGAGATATTTTGCACATGTCAAGCAAAATGAAGCGTCAAAGGGGCCGCGATCTTGAGTGATGAATGTATGTGCGTATGCGAAAAGGGAAATGCGTACACTCATGATGAACAGAGAGAGGATATAAGAACAGCTCTCGAACTTTTCGGAGAGTCACCAGCTTTTCCGAGAGGATTTAAGAACGCACCCTTAGACGCATGAGTGGGTTCATCGTTAGCTGTAGACAGTTAGAGAGAGAGAGAGAGAGAGAGAGAGAGAGAGAGAGAGAGAGAGAGAGAGAGAGAGAGAGAGAGAGAGAGAGAGAGAGAGAGAGAGAGAGAGAGAGAGAGAGAGAGAGAGAGAGAGAGAGAGAGAGAGAGAGAGAGAGAGAGAGAGAGAAGAGAGAAAGAGAGAAAGAGAGAGAGAGAGAGAAAGAGAGAGAGAGAGAGAGAGAGAGAGAGAGAGAGAGAGAGAGTGAGAGAGACAGAGACAGAGAGACAGAGAGACAAAGAGAGAGAGACAGAGAGACAAAGAGAGAGAGACAGAGAGACAAAGAGAGAGACAGAGAGAGACAGAGAGACAAAGAGAGAGAGAGACAGAGAGAGACAGAGAGAGAGAGACAGAGAGAAACAGAGAGAGACAGAGAGAGACAGAGAGTGACACAGAGAGAGACAGAGAGAGACAGGGAGAGACAGAGGCAACGATAGATAGAGAGACAGAGAGAGACACAGGGACATACAGATACATATCGAGAAACTGACAGACAGAAACACAACGAGTTCAGGCGGTAGCAAATCTTCATATTGAAGGGTGCAACAAAACAGAGAGGTTCCAGGCTGTCCAAGAGAGTGCTCAATACCGAGTGGTAGAGCTGGTTCAAACAATAGGAGGACAGAGAAAGTGTTTTACTCCGAGTTTCACGCACTACTGCGATCATCAGAAAACAGTAATGAGAAATCTGGATCAGTATTGTTTATTTATTGTTTGTATTGAAGGGTACACTACATGTATGTTGCCATGAACCTAGTATGCCTGCCTCATTATAAACGTTAAACCCTTGTGGGCTGTCCGTAATAATAGCCTCGGAGATGTCTAACGGGAGTTTCTTTCTTGACCGAGCTACCCACCCACCCCCGGAAACGCCCCCCCCCCCCCAAATGCAAAAGCCACCATGTACCAGTCAAAGATTACAGAAAAATACACACTGCGGAAAAGGGCACATGCCAGCTTCGTACTGGGTGTATTGACTTGATCATTGGTATTTTACCATAAAAAAACCCAACCTTTGTACGCACGAGCTGTCTACGAGGTCATCTGCAATTATGTAACGTGGTTGTAAATTTTCTATTTTTCTCCACTTTCTGGGATGATAATGATTGTGTCAACTGTTGCTATGAAGTTGAAGTTTAGTCTTCTGTGGTGCCCTCACCAAAAGTCTGGCCTGATCGGCCATCTCTAAAGGTACAAAATGTTATCCTGCAGCAAGGTTGTTTTTGAGGCCATGAAAGTAGGTGTACTATTATGTAACATTGAGTAAAATAACTGTCTACATCCGGGAATGTCACTCACAGGCCTGTGAAAACACATTGGCAAGGTACAGGCACCAGTTCTCCGAGTGCTGCAACGGCAAACGGAATTTGAATCGACCATATCTCGGCTACATAGGTGATACGAATATTCAGAAATTGTGCTAATCTATTCAAAATTCGTCTCGCTGCAATCGCCCTCCTAGGAAGCTCATCAGTATAATAATATCCTCGTGAGACGTTCTATCGAAACAGGAGTGGCAGGGACGGATGCCAAGGCGACCAACAGCAACGAAAATTTAGAACAATGGGAGTTATTGGCCATCCTTGCCCCTCGACTATAGTACAGTCGCTGTTGAACACTCCTGATAAACGAATGGATATATCGAATACAAAAGACATTTATTATTATTATTTAAAAATTCGACGAGGAGACAATAATTTTAATATGGCAATAAGTAGGACGAGCTGAAGCGACATGTGGACTACTTTATTTAAAACAATGTAAGTGATGGAGACGATGCAAGAAACAGCCTAAAGGGTAAGGAAAAATACATGTAAGAAGAAAAAGGGCATTGGAAAAAAAAGAAGATGATTCGAACAAGTTTTCTTTTTTTTTCCTTTTTCTTCTTACATGTATTTTTCCTTACCCTTTAGGCTGTTTCTTGCATCGTCTCCATCGCTTACATTGTTTTAAATAAAGTAGTCCACATGTCGCTTCAGCTCGTCCTACTTATTGCCATATTAAAATTATTATTATTATTTTATTTATTTTACTCGGGTGTTTCCCACAGACCTATGGTCTTCTTACGGGAGCCCCTAGAAAGGTTAAGCATGAACGAACAAATTTCCCAACCACATATCACCACCATGAGTTCGGAACTTTGAGGCTTACCACTTTGTAACATTGCTCTATCGATTTTAGGCAATTAGGGGCATACACATGATGACTGACCTGGGGGACGTCAATATTCACATAATTTACTAATTTCATCCAATTCCTATGAAATGGGCACGCTTCAACAGGCCTTGCCGACCTTCCATGACGCCAATATTTTGTCAGCTGAAGCGGCGGAAGCGTCGGTGGGATAGCTCCAGACGGCCATAAAAGAAACTTCAGGTTGGCCTCGACAGACCCGAGGAATGCATAATTTACTCAATTTGTTACATAATGTAAAATGTTACATAATAGCAGATCACCTCGTACCAACTGCATGGGCCATCCCGGGGATCCCCTATATATGGCCTAGGCCCTGGATTATCAAAATGGGTGCCTTAGGCCAAGTAAAAAAAAAAGCTAGATGATCGTCCCCGTCCGCCCCAGTTTTTGTCAGCGCCCCAAGAAATATTTTATTTTTTAAATCGTGAGTTTTACTATATGGACCACATACTACTAGTATATCACAACGTCAGTATCGATCTGCTGAAGAAAGAAAAAGAAAAAAAGAAAAAAAAAGAAAAAAAGAGAAAAAAAACCTTGATGTTGTTGTGTACACTGTGTGCATGAGAGGGTAAAAAGTAAAAAAATAAAAATAAAATCCTCCCGCCCTCCCCGATTTTTCCAAAAAAAAGGACGATCATCTAGTAATTTTTTTTACTCGGCCTTATCATTTTCTGTTGTTTTTACACTTCTTCGTGCTTTAAAAACAGCATGGTGGGTCTGTGTGCCATGTGCCAAAAACGGAAAGGTGAGAAAAGGAAATGCGTATACGTACTAGTATATACGGAAATACGGATATGGCACATTTACGTGCGTACAAGTATGCGCAGTATAATTTTATTGGTGGGGGGGGGGGGTCTTTTCTTTTTACCAGGCGTGGGCCATCGATCCCTGAATTCATAGCATAACATTTTACGTTTTTCATTGACTATCGATCATGCATTTTGTCTATTTTAAATCCAAAAAAACTCTTGGTAAAAACTTTTTTATTGGCTACACGTACCGTAAAATCCCGCCAGAGCGCCCCTACCTCCTCGTCGCTTCAGGTGGGGAGGCCTCTCGAGGGGCGGATGGGCGAGTTCTACTTGCCGCATTCAGTGCAACATGAAAAAGTACTCACCCTACGAAAACTGTTCGTGCATCTCGTACACTGACCAAAGGTCAAGAGCCAGGAGTCGTACAGACCCGTCAAAACTCAGGGTTTGTGCGATCCCTGGTCAAGAGGGTACGAGGTGATTTGGCATTTTTTAACATTTGGCATTTTTTAACAAATGTGTAAAATTAGGGTGCGTTCTTAAATCCTCTCGGAAAAGTTGGAGACTCTCCGAAAAGTTCGAGAGCTGTTCTTATATCCTCTCCGAATTTTAGGAGGCTCTCCAAAGCTCTCCAAGCTCTCCAAGCTTCAGAGGTGGTTGAAACTTGGAGATTCCCGCGGTTTGGGATCAGCGCATGCGAACTAGGCTAAAAGCCACGTGTTGATCATGAGTGTATGCATTTCCCTTTTCGCATACGCACAGCGCATACTATATTCGTGGCACTCAAGATCGCGGCCCCTTTGGCGCTTCATTTTGCTTGACATCTGCAAAATATCTCCGAATTCCTCGAGACCCGTTCTTGAAGAATCCCAGTTTCTTCGACTTCTCTTTTCTTCTTCTCCTAGAAGCTAGAGAATTTAAGAACGCACCCTTAATATTTGCTTTTCTTCTGGCTGTTTCTCTGCTCCGGATGGCTGTATCGAAACATGGGTGGTGGCAAATGAGAGCCAGTTTATCGTAGATCAACATTGACCAGAAAATTTGGTGCGTATAATTTAATTCTCTCTGCCACGTTGGTATAACTAGTGGTGGGTGCTTTGCCATTTTGTGTAAAATGTGTAAAATGAGCCCCTGACTGGACGAGGAGGGCAGTGAATTGCTTCCGCAGGGCCTTTGGACGACGTCAGGCCGTCTTGCCATCACTAGAGACAGTAATGAAGAACAGTAGGTCACGGAATACACTCTGTGAGAACGAAAACATCGCTGCGATGCTATGCTATCTATCCAATTCCACCGTATAACACAGCCACTAGTTACAAATACAAAAACACGGCTTTCGCAGCATACAATGCAGTTCACTCCTCTGTTGACAGATAAATTTTCATCCACTAGCAATCCTTGAAGTGATATCTATCAACTTTAGAACATTGATGACCGAATATCCCAGTTTGTGATGCCATTTTACAAATTTGTTAAAAAATGACACACCAATTATTTGAATCCTGAGAATACTATGAAAGTTGGACATGATTCAAGACACTTTCCAAAGTGGGATCACTCCCATTTTTGGACACAACGGGCATGAAGGATAGCAGTCATAGCACTTCCACTTGCAACAATTCATTTGGACGTAGCTTGTCTAGAAGTGACTGAAAAAACGTCATTTTACAACCATGTTAAAAAAAACCAAACCACCTCGTACCTAGGGTGGGCACTGTTGCGTACATTTCCAACGTGGTCGAGCACGCGTCTGCAGTCAGTACGTCATCACAGACTGCGACAGAGTCATACGATCACGAGGATACATCCCTGACAAGAAGTCAGGGAGGGGTGGATAGGAGAGACGGGGGCGCTCTGGCGGGATTTTACGGTACATGTGAATCTACGTACAACACAAATAGATCTAAAAAAATGCATGCCTAGCGCCTAGCTATATATGGCTGATTGTATGCCCTACATAATGGCCTTGGCCTAGTGCGTGCCGTGGTTGGCAATTAATCACTCACTCTTAACCAGGGAGTTGTACAATACTACTCCCTAAAATATAAAAAAAATATAGTCCTTGGTCGTGCACCGTAGCCCGCGGGCCTGTGCCCTGCGCATGCGGCCCCTGGCCTTGGGCTACGGTGCACGACCTCGGGCTACGCACTATGTACAGGCGCGCCCCGGCAAAAAATCCCGCAAACATTCTTGCGGCCTAGCGCCTCAATTCGTGCTATAGCTCAACGGTGACGGGGAGTACGGTATACCCTGAATGGAGAGGAGGATCGCGGAACAAGCTCATTCGCTTCACTTTCTCCTCGAGCAAAGGTTGCCTTGTGTTGCTGTCCTTGGATATCGGCGAACAAGAGTTTGTGGAACTGTCTTTGAAGGTGAGTTGTGAGTAGGATTGTTCTTGTTGTCAGGCGTCTCCTTGTCAGGCGTTACCTTGTCAGGCGTCTCCTTGCGCATTCCAAATAGAGAAACACACTGTTCTTCGAGTTACTGTATGTGCGCCGGGGCGCTTTTCTTTGGTTCCCTCGAAGTATCGTCGTACGGCACTGTTGCGTGGTTGCCGGTATGAATGCGGTTTGTACTGAACGTAGTTGTGAGCCGCGTTTCGAACCGTTGGCCAACGGCATTGGTTATGTGGACAGAGTTAGGCGAGGCGTTCTTTTGGTTTCCTTCCAGCCATTGCAATTCCTCGGTTGTGTGTGCGTATCGGAAAGGAACAGTCTGTTGGCGACAAACTGCACGAGGATTTGTAGGATCATCCAAACTGGGGAGTCAGGAAGAACGGCTTCAACTCAGAGCGTTACGTTCTAGAACGCCGAACGTTACCTGTGAGGTTTCGGTAGCTGGTTACCAGCTACCGCAACCTCAACTTCCTCCTCCCCCCTCCTGTATCAAGTACAAGTATAATGTAACTGTGTCCAGCTGGGTTGAGCACCCTTCGTTTAGTCCAATTCCTGGTAGGCGTGTTGAGTATACGATCACTACAGTGGTAATTGTTGTTTGACTTGTTTATTGCCTTTTGCAAATTTACCTGCCAGACAGTAAATGTGTGTAGCGGTCTGGCATTAGGGAGGTTTAGTCCCACGTAATCCGTGGGTACTTTACGTGTGTGTACCACGTGATACTCAGTGACCCACGTACAGACGTTTTCTGATTCACGACATGCCGTGTATAGAACCTCACCCAGGGTGAAAATCAGAATGGAGTGCATTGTGCGAGCTGTGAGGGTGCTCAGCTGAAGAAGTTTCCGAAGCACGAAATCAAAATATTGGATGAGCTTCTTAGGCCCGGGTGGCTTCGTCTTTGACCAGGTTTGGGCCTTTCGCTTCATGCTTTTGTTTGTTCCGTGTGACTAAACACAACATTGCAACGTGGGTGCCCTTCATCCACTTTACGTGGATCACCCACGTACGCGTTTCCGTTACGTGGGAACTAAACCTCCCTACTGCCGCATGCCTGCACAGCAACTTCAGCATTGGATGTTCCGCAGGCTAAAGTATGCCATGCCTTTTTCCGGAAGAAAGCGGTTCAGTTTGATACACATGAAACGAAGGAAAACCTTT